AGAGGGAGGGAGCGCAGCGACGCGCTTCCAGACGCGGAACACAGAGGTGGTTCTGCAGGAGTTCTGTTACTGATCTGCGCAGAGTAGGTCAAACCAGAAACGAGCCTCTGGCCGGTGCAAGCCTTGATGAAGTAACACAAGATCAGAGCCAGGAACCTCGCGAGCAGGTATGACTGGCCCCTCGGGGGTGAGAGGGAGGGAGCGCAGCGACGCGCTTCCAGACGCGGAAAACAGAGGTGGTTCTGCAGGAGTTCTGTTACTGATCTGCGCAGAGTAGGTCAAACCAGAAACGAGCCTCTGGCCGGTGCAAGCCTTGATGAAGTAACACAAGATCAGAGCCAGGAACCTCGCGAGCAGGTATCTGACTGGCCCCTGTCTAAAGGAGGAAACACAGCGCCCGGGGAGAGAAACTCCGGTTCTTAGTATTGGAAATCGTCGCCTGGTAATTCCACCACATATTTGAGTCACAACTAAATCTTTTATTCTGTTCCTTTTCTCAACAGATATAGTTTTGAATAATATTTTAGTTCCCAGTATGGTTTTTCTACAAGGAGAGAGGACCTGGCAAATGTGTCCCTTGGTATTTTTCATTGTAAACCAAAGCACTGTTATTTCGGGTTTCATGCATGAGCTTCTAGTGAGCGTGACTCAGCTCGTTTGGCCTTGGTACCACAAAAGTCAGAACCTGAAAGTAGGAATTCACCAAGATAAATGCCACTCCCGGGCATCTTACTAGCCCTCTTTTTGACACCCCCCACTCTGCCATGCTTCCGTGACACTTTTCTACAGAAAGGCATCTGCATACAGATCGGAAGCCAAAGCACTGTGAAGACTGTTGGGACCCTTGCGACTTAGTTTATGTATTAGTAAAACCTTTAATGTGAAAAGGTTCTACTGGAGTACGACAAAGAGGGCCCACCTGAGAGGACCACATTCCTGTGTGGGGAGCAAACCTAGGGTGCAGGTGTCTAGCACTTTTGAAAGGATTTTGCCCCTGAAGAGAACACAACTGTAGCTGGCTTGGTTCTGAAAAATAACAATGGTCCTTAAAATGGTTTCCCAAGAGTTGGTTAGCAAGGACACTAGAGGAAAAAAAAAAGTTCTAGGGAGGAATTGTTGGGACTACCTTTCTTTAAGGGGTTAGAGGAGGAAAATCTACTGGGCAAGGGAGAAGACAACTTCAAGAATGGGTCACTTGGGCCGGGGATTTAGCTTGGTGATTCTACCTTCTTTGCAAGTGCAAGGTCCTAAGTTTGATCCCCGGTACCAAAAACAACAACAACAACAACAAAACAAAGAATGGTAATGCAGAGTCACAAGATTTGGGTTTGGTAATAGAAGATGGCTGATTATCACATTTGGGGATTTTTTCTCTTTTAAATTTTTTTTATTTTCGTATTTTAAATGTGGGTCATATTTTTTCATAGTTCCAGAGCCACAATAAATGAGGATATAGGTTTTATTGTACTGAGATCTTAGTATTCGCAGGGGGAAAAAAAAGGATTGAAAAGGTATGCATCAGTTATTTGGAAAACCGTGGTAGCCTATCATTTGTACACACCGTTGATTTTAATAGGTGAATTTAGCATGTTGCACGATAAAGTTAGTATATAGAAGTCAATTGTATTTTTATATACTAGCACCAATTAGAA